ATTATATTGGTGACGTATCTGCAATAACATATTAGTCAACGCATCTGGAAACTATGACAACGGTTAGGTTAGTTCACATTAAAATATTACTTGCCTTTGATTTAAATGATTTATTGATTGCTACGTCAAGAGGCTGTACACGAGATGTCAACCCCCCGGGAATTATTGCAATATCAGTCTTCTTTTCACCAAGATGGCGTTTGACTGAATCCAGCAAATGAGCAGAAAAGGAATCCATGATAAGAAGAGAACGGGGATTAGAGATCATAGCACGTTTCGTCCATACGTGGTTAATCCAATAAAGCATCTCAGATTCATTCATCCATCCGGTGGGGGATTAGCTCGAACTAAAACATCCTGGGGAAAAGTACCACGCGGAATATTCTTCAGTTTAAAGATAACTAGAGGCGGAAGTTTGCTACCATCTGCCATACAACTGAGAACCACAGTGAAGGAACTTCGTTCATGACCAGTAGTACGGATACTGACAGTTCGAGCTCCAACGTTATCAATAGTGTTATTGTTTGGTAAGTCAAACGTTAAGGGGGTCTCATCCATGTTACCTATAAGTGAAAGCGGGTAGTCATACTCTATTCGACGGTATAAGACAAACGAGAGAAACTCATGCTGCAATTCATTTAACGTATCTGACAGACGCTGAGCGACAGTTGTTCGGCGGCGGTTACATAAGTTGTTACGAGACAAAACACCGTCAACCCATTTATTACCTAATTACAGATGATTTGATGTCAGGGTATCTGATCTGCCATTTTCTTTGCTTTACCATCTCTTTCGCCTTCATTTGGACCATATACCGAGTAACAACATTCCCTTTAGCCCTGCGCTCCCTTATCCAAAATACTAATGCAGTCTCGAATTCAGGAAACTTTGGTGGAGGACCCTGATGCAAACGCCTGATACCTAGACGCGCGTTTAACAACTCCGTTTTCTTCGATATCCAATCTCGTAGTTGTTTAGGCTCAATACCAAATTTTGTTGCTGTTGCGCGTTTACTGTGACCCTTTTCATGATACATTATTATGATTAACTTTTTCTCGTGCATTCCATTGACGACGTACCTTTTGGGTTGTATTTGCATAATGAATACCTTTATTCCCGCGTATAGGCATGCTTGAGAATGCTGAAGATGCGAATTTTAGATTATCTAATACTAATACGATTGCAAGAAAATCACTACCAAAATTACTAATGTACCCCGTGGTACAGTATCCTCCCCTGTATAGTACTAATGAGTCAGTGATGGCGAAAAAAAGGGGCAGTCACATGATAAATACTGCAGTATGATTGGGTGCCATGCCAGT